AAACATCTTTTTGTGTGTGTCATGAACCCCTTAGGCAGTGTCAGTAAGCTTTTCGAAGGATCTCAGAATGTTTTGTTAATGTCTATGTGCTGCCGAAGCAAGCACAATGTTTTTTTTAATGTACAGAATAAAAATATACAACAAAGGAAATCAATTATGCTGAGGTAGTTATCAAAATATTTCAGGAGCAGAGCTGTGACTCAGTGATAAGAGTGCCTAGGATATGCAGGGCCCTGAGCTCAGTCCCTGGCTCTGAGGGAAAAAGCCTTATTAACAAAACAAAACCTAACAGCTCCATTAATAACTACCATGATTTCAAAATAGTGGGGCCGGGGAGATGGCTCAGTGGAATAAGCGCTTCCCTGAAGTGCAAGGGCCTGAGTTCAATCCTCGATTCCACAAAAAAAAAAAAAATCAGGGCCGGGGAGATGGCTCAGTGGAGTTAAGTGCTTCCCTGGCAAGCACAAGGGCTGAGTTCAATCCCCGGTTCCACCAAAAAAAAAAATAGTGAAAAGTATAGATTTTATTTTGTGATACGAAAAGATCTGCAATCTTACCTGGTGACAAATTCAGGTTACTATGATTTGTTGCCCACACTCATAGTTGAAGGAAACGTTGTATTTCACTTCAAGATTAGTGAAAATACAATTCAGAGAAGATCTAAATTCTACCCTTGTGCTCCTTAGGGGCCTGTGAATCTCAAGAACCCCTGAAAACCATAAAACAAATTCCTGCATATTTTGCAAGCTACCTGGCAACAACAATAAAAGCCAGTTAAAAGTTAAACTACTTACAAAACATCTGCCAGACACAGAACATCTCTAAATTTCAGAGTAAATGCTTTTAAAATAAATATTGGAGTACTGCACATCCATTTTAGGCCTGTTAAGAAGAGAGAGCAAAACACTCAGGCAGGCTTAGGCAGATGAATGGCAAGTTCAAGCCCAGCATTAACATAGTGAGACCCCGTCAGAAAACACAAAACAAAAAAGTTAAAATGGGTTGGGATACAGCATATTGCAAAGGCCCTGGGTTCAATCCCTAGTACAAAAAAAAAAAAAAAAAAAAAAAAAAAAAGGAGGAAAATGAAAAGGGGGAAGAAGTGGAGGAAGAAGGGGAAGAGGGTGGACAGGAGGAGAAGTGGCAACCAGGATGGTAAATGTTTGTGCCCAGTGGCAAAAGCCTCTTGTTCCAGCTACTGAGAAATGAGTCAGGAGGAGTCCAAGTTCAAGGGCAGAGTAGGTAGTAAGATTCTGACTCAAAATAAATAAAATAAGCTAGAAATACATAGTTTGGTATAGAGCTCTTAGCTAGCATGCTTCAGGCCCTAAATTCAATCCCCAGCACTGCACCAAAAAAAAAAAAAAAAAAAAAGAAAGAAAAGAAAAAGGAAGGAAGAAATATTTTGCAATGCCAGGAATAAAGATATTTCATCATTTATTCACTTTGTCTTATTTTAGTTGTGTTATGTTGACCACAAGAGAAGACCGGGTATAGTGGCGCACGCCTGTAATCCCAGCACAAGGCTGAGTCAGGATTGTTGTAAATTTGATACCAACCTGGGCTACAAAGTGAGCTTGAACAGTATAGTGAGACCTTATCTCAGAAAGACCAAAAGAAAGGGGGGTGGAGAGAGAGAGAGAGAGAGAGAGAGAGAAATTAAAATTTGAAAATTTTTAAAGTAAACATACTATTCAAAAATCATGTGAAAATTATGGACAATAACATGTCTAAACTCTTCAAACCCCCTTGGAATGGACAAGGAGTACAGGTGGACTTTCGCCAGTTCACACTTGTTATCGCCAAATTCAGACTGTCACTTTGAACTTTTGTAATGTAATTAGGCACCTCTTAATGTAGAGCTTTAGGATGCAAAGTGACCTCATACATGCAAAGTATATTTTTAAAAATATATGTTTGGATAGAAAAAATGTTAAACTTCTACCTTACTACAGAGTTCATATTCAAAGAAGTGACAAAAACACATTAAGTCTGATACATATTATAGTCTATCAGAAAAAGAAAACAGATCTGGTGTGTAATATAAAGATCTACTGGGGCCGGGGAGATGGCTCAGTAGAGTAAGCGTTGTCTGGCAAGCACAAGGCCTGAGTTCAATCCCCGGTTCTGCCAAAAAAAATTAATAAATACATAAAGATTTACTAAATAATTTTCAAACTATCATTTAAATGTTTAAAGTCTAGCATGACAGGCTGGGGACATAGCTCAGCAGAACAGACAGCACTTGCCTAATATGTGGGAGGCACTGGGTTCAATTCCTAGTACTGCAAGAATAAAAAATCTAGTTAGGTAAGATAAGCTTATGGAAATTATTTAAGAAATTCAGAAACCAATTTTTCTAATTTTCTTTTTCTTTTTTTTTTTTTTTTTGGTCTTTTTGAGACTGGGTCTCACTACGCAGTTCAGGCTGCCCTTGAGCTCACTTTGTAACCCAAACTGGCCTTGAACTTGCAGCCATTCTCCTGCCTCATCCTCCCTAGGTGCTGGGATTACAGGTTGTTGGGACTACAGGGGTGTGCCTCCACACCAGGCTCTAATTTAAAATTCTTAAGCAGTTATACTGAGAATTCCCCCACTGTCTTGTTAGAAAATTACACATATTTTGATGAAAATTCTTAATTCTAATGTTTATAAGAACAGTAAACTAAGTCAGGCATGGTGGTACATGCCCATAATTCAGAAGGTAATGAATTACATGCCTGTAATTCAAGAAGCTAAGTAGGAGGACTGTAAATTCAAACCCAGCCTGGGCAACTTGGTGAGACCCTATCTCAGAAATCTTTGTGTTTATATTTTGTTTGCTCTGTAATTTAGGCTGGTCTTGAACTCACTTACGTAGCCCAGTCTGGCCTTGAACTCAAAGCAACACTCCTCCCTCAACCTTTGGAGCACTGGGATTACGAACATGTACCACCATGCCCCAGCTATTTTGTTTTAAAGACAAGGTTTTACCATGTAGGCTGGCCTCCAACTTGCCAAGCTCCTCCTGCCTCAGTCTCCAGAGTGCTGAGATTACATGTGTGTACCACCATGCCCAGCTCAAAATTTAAAAGGTTTCAAAGGGCTAAGGATGTAGCTCAGAGGAAAGGTCCTTGGTTTAATCCCCAGTATCACTAAATAAATAAATAAATAAATATTGTATCATATGGGGTACAGGCTCAAATTTGAATCTTAATTTACTTCTTAAGGTGCAAACAATGGTTCTGTTGGTTTTGTGGGGGAAGCTTGGTACCAGGAATCAAACTCACAACCCCATATCTGCCAAGCCGGCAGGCACTGTGCCAATGAGCTATATCCCCAGCCTGGTGTGTATTTCTGAAAACCTCTAGTAAATGTTATTAACAGATACACAAATAAATAATAAACCATTATTTGTTTATCTAATTATACATGTACCCATGACATATATTCAAATTTTAAAAGGAACAATGGTTGTTTTGAAATTAATAACATTTCCTGATTCACACTTTTAAGGACTCTTAACTAGATCAAAAAATTTCTCAAAGGCTTTTCTGCCCCGAAAGAACATCCACATGCTTTATCCATCTTTAGAAATGCTATTAATTTTGTCTACTCCACCAGATATAAATATGAGGGTGAGGACTTACTCATTATCTACAGCACAAAAGGACCTGGCACACAGTAGGTACTCAACAAATGTATGATAAACTGGTTGAAAACAATCTGTCACGAGCTAGGGAGATGGCTCAGTAGGATAAGTGCTTCTCTGGCAAGTGCAAGGGTCTGAGTTTAATCCCTGGTTCCACAAAAAAACAAACAAACAACAAACAAATAAAACAAAACAATCTGTCACTTTCAAGCACTTACAAGTCAAAGTTGTGGAAGTGGAACATCTTTTTTAGAATATGGACCCTATTAGGTTTAACCATATTTTGGCCATATTTATTATCTTACTTTTACATACCACTTTACAAAATGCTTTGCCCACATTACCCAATGTCACTTCTGTATAGTAAATAAACTGTCAAGATATATTTAGTAAATGATGAAGATTTTATAGCCAAAAAATTAGGAAAGTCATTCAACGGCTATAAACTGATAACCAAAACAAATTTGTCTAGAGGTTAGTGACAATAAAACGATCTAGCCGGGTGTGGTGGCACATGCCAGTAATCCCAGCATTTCATGGGCTGAAGCTGGAGGATCTCAGAGTTCAGGGCCAACTACACAGCAAAACTTTGTCATTAACTAAATAAACGGCAAGATCTAGACTCATAGTCTTGATATTCATAGATTTGGGAAAAGAAAAATGTTTTCCTTTCAGAATCTCTTAGGTAAGGTGCCTGCCACTCTTTCACAGCTCTAGATAAACAAACAGGACAGACAAACAAGAGCCACTCTTGGGAAACTATCAAGGATGACAAGCTGGGGAAGCGACAAGGGACTGTGGATACACTTAAGAATTTCAACATCATTTCCAGCCATAGTTTTCCCAATCTTCTCGGCAGATTCCCCGCGGCCCCCTGGATCTGCCCGGTGCCGGGAAGTATTTCGAGCTCTTGTTTATGCCCCAGTGTTGACGACCGCACAATGACAGCGACACCGTGAGCGTCGTGCGGCCTGCGTCCCGGACCTTCAGCTGGGTGCCAAGAAGCGATCCCCAAAGTGACAGCCCCTCAGCCCGGCTCCTCCCAGAGTCCCCGACATCCCCGAGGGGAATCAGGCCGGGCTCAGTGCCTCCGGGGACACTTTGCGACTCTTTTAGAGTTTGTGCCAAGTGACCACATTCCGGCCCCAAACTCAGGAGGCCTGAGAGCGCGCGGGCAGGCAAGAGCTCAAAAGGTTCCCCCTTAAATTTGGGGATCCGCTGCTACAGCACGGCGGAGAACCCCCACCCCACCCGGAAGGTGGAGGTGCCGGACGGCACGGGCCTCGCGCCCTCCGCAGACACCCCAGCCGACCGTCCGCTTCCCCCACCCCCACCCCAGCCGGGGCTCCAGCGCGGACTCCTTCGTTACCTCTCTGCGTTGAGGCGATCGAGGTGGTGATAAGCCGGGCGGCCACCGCGCCGCAGGTACAGGCGCCACAGCTGGACATCTCGGCGGGCTTAGGCCCGGGCTGCGCCCCTTGCCGATCTCAGGGACTAGGCGGACCGACCCCTACTGGCTGGTCGCGCTGACGTGGTTCCTAACCCCTCCGCCGGCCCGAGGCCGGGTACAGAGCGCGCTCGACAGGTAGCCAGGTCCGGCCGCCCTCCGCGTCCCACCGCCTTCTACTCACTGAAGACCTCGGCCTCCTCCTATTCCCCTCCTCCTCCTCCTCCTCCTCCTCCTCCTCCTCCCCCCATCCCCCGCCTACCGGGCCCCGGGAGCGTGCGCACGCCTGCGCCCTGGGGCCAGGCAGGGGGCGTGGACTCGCGCGTGCGTACGTGCGTACGTGCGTGAGACCTTACCTAGAGGAAAGGGGGCGGTGACCTGAGCGCCAATGAGCGCGCTACGGCAAGCGACTAGCCCCAAATGTCTGCTAGCTTCGAGATCTGGGAGTTGAAAAGTTTTAGACTGGGAAAGGTGCCTGCTGGTAGTTGTTTGAATCCGTTTTAGTTAAGCTGTTGTCCGGGTTAGTTTTCAGTGGTGGCAGGGAAGTTCTAAGTGAGACAGATGGTTTAGGTGGCCCTACGGGGAATCTTTAAAATGACTCGGGATTGGAAGTGTTGCAAAGTGTTAGAGCTCGTAGCAAGCCCCCAAAGCCCTGCATTACCACCAGCACCCTCCATCCATCTATCTATCCATAAAGTGGCTAGGCAGCCACTACACACTCTTTCCCTCCGGGACTCCACGTCCTGAGCTTTTGGTCATGTTTAGTCATGAAGAATCATTTTTAGGGCGTTAAAGTGGTATTCTTCTAACAACTACTACTGGAAGGTGACAGCTCTATCAAGCCTAGCCTTGCACTTTCAAGCCTAGAAATGATTAATCCTTCGGTCTGGCGAATGCTTGGGTTCTTCACAATCTTTTTGAAAATGTAATCGCTCTAGTAAAGTCCCGTCATGGATCGGTCTTCTGTTACCCCTGAGCCATGTGTCTGCGCGGCCTGCTTCCTCTGCACAGCTAAAGCGAAGCCACTCCTTGCACAAGGTGGACAACGGTGACAAATGAATCAGACCCATCTCCCATCCTACGCTAATTATTTACCTCATGCATGAGTCTGATCTACTCAGATGCCCAGAGAAGTTGCTGGGTGAGCGTGAGCAAGGTTATGTCTGAGCTTTGGGTAAGAAAAACCTGGAAGAGTCAAGCGGGGCCAACAGCTGGTTACACGAGTCAATTAGCCCTCAGTGACCTCTGACCAGGAAAAAAAAAAAAAAAAAAAAAAAAAAAAAGGTTTCTAGTTCCCCAGAAACTTTTAGAACTGTCTGAGAAGGGGCACTGGCCTTGAGCCAGGCCACATGGTTCTTTCTCCCTTGGGGAGCTGACTTCTGGTATTTTCTCAGCTCGATGTGGCAGAGGACCAGTCCGGCATGGCAGCACCTGCACATAATCCCAGCACTGCTGAGGCAGCAAGATTGCAAGTTCATGCCAGGCATGATGACACATGCCTGTGATCCCAGCACTTAGGAGGCTGAGGCAGGAGGATCGCCTTGAGTTCAAGGCCAGCCTGGGCTACAAAGTGAGTTGAAGGCCAGCCCAGTTGCATAGTGAAACCCTGCCTCAAAAAGAGGAGGAGGGGGAGGAGGAGGGGGAGAAGAAAAGCCCAGGCTTGGGCAATTTAATGGCTTAATGAACTGTTCCTCAAAAATAAAAACTAAAAACAAAGCTCCAATTTTCTTCACTGCAAACTGGTACTTCCTGAGTTGACTCCATTAGTTGAATTTTAAGAGAGAGCCTCAAAAGTTTCCTCAACTGAGTGTTTCCAAACTGCATTCCTAATATATCACAGATGCTTTTTTTTAATGTACATATTTGGTACAGGGTCTCACCATGCGGCTCGGACTCGGTGATCCTCCTGTTTTCAGCCTCCCCAGCCCTGGGATTCCAGGCACCACGCCTGAGGTCTTTGTGGCTGGCACATCCTGCGGTCCCATGATTGAACCAGGGTCCTCGTTCTTGCCTCGGCAGGCCCTTAGACCGCTGAGCTGTCTCCGCAGCCCATCGCACGTGCTTTGCTCTGTAGTTTCAATAAAGGAGCCAAGTAAGGGGGATCTCTCTGCCTTCTCCCCAACAACACCCCAAAGCCGGCCAGAGCTGTTTATCCTTTTATTTATTGCAGTTTTGTTTAAAAATTGGGTGTCTTGTTTAAAATAGTGTTTGAAATGCATTGATTATAGAACAACCTCCCCCTGCCTTTTTCTTTTTTGTAGTACCAGTGTTTGAACGTGGGGCCTTGCGCTTTCTAGGCAGGTACTGATGCCACTGAGCTATTTCCCCAGCCCTTACCCTCTCCTTTCAGAGATGACCTAAGAGGGTCAAAGAAGCTCTAGCCCCAAATGAAATTCATTTCATACCATCTCACCTTTTTAAATTAAATGCACATCTCCTTATTATAGAAATAATTTAGTATACATGCTACCAAAGCAAACACCTTTTCATAGAAATAAAACCCAGGCTTCTTTTTCTGGGAAACACCAAATGGCAGGTGACACCAGTGCAGCAGGAGGGCCGGAGGGGCCCAGGGGGCCCGGGCATGGGAGGCCGAGGCGGCTTCCACGAAGGCTTCAGCAGTGGCCTTCGAGGTGGTGGCCGAGGCAAGGCCACGGGGCTCATGGCGGTAAGGCTGAGGACAAAGAGTGGTTTCCTGTCACCAAGCTGGGGCCTCTGGTCAAAGATGTGAAGATCAGGTCCCTGGAGGAAATTTACCTTTTTTCCTCACCCATCAAGGAGTCCGAGATTATTGACTTTTTCCTGGACACATCCCTCAAGGATGAAGTTCTGAAGATCATGCCTGTGCAGAAGCAACTCGTGCTGGCCAGCAGACCAGGTTCAAGGCTTTGTCGCCATTGGAGACTACAACAATCATGTTGGCCTGGGTGTAAGTGTCCCAAGGAAGTAGCCACTGCCATTCGTGGGGCCATTATCCTGGCCAAGCTCTCCACTGTCCCCGTGAGGAGAGGCTACTGGGGAAACAAGATCGGCAAGCCCCACACTGTTCCTTGCAAGGTGACGGGCCGCTGTGGCTCTGTGTTGGTGCGTCTGATCCGTGCCCCCAGAGGCACTGGCATCGTCTCAGCCCCTGTGCCCAAGAAGCTGCTGCTGCTGGCTGGTGTTGATGACTGCTACACCTCTGCGAGGGGCTGCGCTGCTACTTTGGGCAACTTTGCTAAGCCATGTTCGATGCCATCTCCAAGACCTGCAGCTATCTGAGCCCTGCCCTCTGGAAAGAGACTGTGTTCACCAAGTCTCCCTATCAGGTATTCACCGACCATCTTGTGAAAATCCACACCAGAGTCTCTGTCCAGAGGACTCACGCTGCAGCAGCAGCTACAACATAAAGGGTTTTTACACCAGAAAAATAAAATGAATTAAGTCTGGAAAAAAAAAAGAAAGAAAGAAAGAAAGAAAGAAAGAAAGAAAGAAAGAAAGAAAGAAAGAAAACCCAGGCATAGCCAGACAGACATAGTAGCCCACACCTGTAATCACAGCAGTTGGGAGGCTGAAGCAGGAGGATCACTGTGAGTTTAAAGCCAACCTGGGCTGCAAAGTGAATTCAAGGCCAGCCTGAACTCCGGTGAAACCCTGTCTCAAAAAGATGAAAACGAAATACTTGCACTTGATGGAGCACACCTGTGATCCTAGCACTTGAGAGGCTGACCAGGAGGATCACTCGGGGCTCAAGGTCAGCCTGGGCTGCACAAGCGAGTTCAAGGCCAGCCTGAACTGCATATCGAGACCTGGTCTCAAGAAAAGGGGAATTGTTTGTCAGCATCTATACATTCGCAATGTAGCAGGCTGAGTAAAGCTGTAATTAGGTTAAGCCTCCGCTGGGGGCACCACTGCTCCACAAAGCCCTCTTTTTCTGTTCAAAGGATGGGATTTCTCATACATTCAGTCAATTATTTAGGGCTGGGGAGATGGCTCAGTGAAATGAGTGCTTCCCTGGCAAGCACAAGGGCCTGAGTTCAATCCCCGGTTCCAATAAATAAATAAATAAATAAATAAATAAATAAACCGACTATTGAGCCCCAGTTACACGCCAGGTACTGGGAAATAGTACTGAACAAATACAACTGTTTCTTCCCTCACAGGGCTTCCATTCTAATGGGGAAAGACAGGGAATCAGTAAGTAAAACAAGCATATGATGGTGATACTAATACAAGAAGTAATGTCAAACATCTAAATAACGTAGGGAAACGTAACTCCATCACTCCCAACCTGCTAGGTGTCTGGTATACCAAGTTCATGTTCCCCCAAATCGAAGGCTGAGTTTTAAGGAACAACTCAGGTTAAGAGTAGGAAATATTTATTTAGGGGGAGAGATACAGCTCCTGAGAGGCAGGAGGGGACCCAAAAGTGGGTTGGGTTGCTCAGTACCCCACTTCTCAGAGGACACTGTATAGAGCACAACTGCATGGGTACAAGTAGGCCACAGCTGTGATCAGTTAGTAAGGCGAGAAGTCTAGCTGCTTAGGGGACACGGACCCAGTGGGGAAGCAAGTCATGTAGCCAGCATACGTGCGAGGAATAAAGAACTTTTAGGAAGGGATGAATCTGGGCTCTCACTCACACACCAATGACTGATGGTTAAGACTTCACTAGGCCGGATGTTACCCCTTATCTTGGGCCTGAGCACTTCGTCTTTATCCTGAGGCCTGGCTTCCCATAGATGTGTCTCTTGTCACAGCTGTAATGTTTTCACCTTTGTCTTGACCAGGTGTGTGAGCGGTCAACCCCGTGTGACTGCCTAGAATAGTTCTGCCTAGTCAGTTAGCTGACTACAGTAGTGCCTTCAGGTGACATGTCCCCACATGTGGCATACTATATCTTTATATTATTCCCAGAGTGACTGAACATTTTATTATATTTATGAGTTGGTGGCGTGTGCATTGAGCCTTGTGTTCTCAACTGGACAATGAACTCCTTGTACTGTTTTGTTCTATGAGACGGGGTCTCACGATGTAATCCAGGCTGGCCTCAAATTCCAAGTGATCCTCCTGCCTCAGCCTCCCTAGTGCTGGGATTATAAGTGCGCCCCACCATGCCCAGCTGATAATGACTAGTGGTTTTTTGTGTGTGTGCATGTTTTGTTTTTGTTTTTGTTTTTTTGATGGAACCGGGGATTGAACTCATGCCTTTGTGCTTGCTGGGCAAGTGCTTATT